GAGGTACAAGTTGAAAATTTTCAATAAAAAATTTCAACCATTTTCCATAATGATGTCGTGGAAACCTTTTTTCTTTTTAACTTTTTTTGAAAGGATTACAAAACTTTAAATCTTTCACATTACCTTCAATAATTAAGCGTGCAATTCCAATAAAGAGGTATCCTTTATCTTTTCTTTGTCTTCAAGTACCCTTTATCCCTCTTTCTTTTTCTTTTTCATACGTTGGACAAGCACTTATTTTTCAACTTTGGATTGTTCACATCCAAACAATTCATTATTTCCGCATGTTCCCTACATTCGTTGTTTTTTTTTTATTAAATGCTAATTATGGTCTCTCAATTTTAAAGTTTATATAATTTTTATTTCTTAACTTATTTATAACTTTTTTAATCTTTTAATTATGAAAAATATATTTTTTTTTAGTTTTTCATTCATTAATCCATTATATCTGTTTAAATCTATATATTTTAGCCTCTAACTTCTAATATAAGTACTTTTTTGTCCCTTAACTTTAAGTTGAGAGATTAAAAATATGCATATTTAAATAAACTTTAACAGATTAACTAATGAAAAGACTAAAAAATTATATTTTTCAAAGTCAAAGGATAAAAAAATGCATAAAAAAGTTGAAGGATGAGAATTATGTAAAATTTTAAAGTTGAGAGACCAAAATTAAGATTTAACCTATTTGTTTTACTCAAATGATGTGCTTAATTGAGTACTATACATACAATTTGATTCAGAATGTTTTACCTTATACCTTTTGTGTAATAAAATTTGCTTTTTATTATATATATTTTTTAGTTTTGTTGTTAATTAATTCAGTTCTCGTTTTGAGATGAATTATATTAAAAAATTACTCCAAATATTTATAAAGAAGAAAGAATAAAAAATTTAAATTATACGCGACTGTTTTATTTGACGGTAATACAATTATAGTTTTCTTTTTTCTTTTTTTGTTAGAAACATGTCAATAGATTGAATCTTTTATAAGAAAGAAAGATGGGAAGAAAAAATGACGATTTCAATATTAGTTATGTAGATTAAAAAATATATTTTTATCAATAGTTTACACACTTACTTTATAGGCCTTCTTAATGCCTTATAATTTAGAAGGGAAAATATATATATTTAATTAACCCTAAATCTAAAATAGTGTTTCATAATGGTACTAGATGGATAGAAAATTAACGCGTAGCATGTTAATTAAAGTCATTTTGATTTTTTTAATTCATCTTGTTTTTTCTGTAGTTTTTATCCATGTATGGCGTGTGTAAGAGTTACTTTCACAGCGTGCCGTTGCATTAATTCAATTAAGTTTATGTCATGTCTCCAGTAGGTTCAAAAGGAATAACCCGATCTGGGTTCAAAAGGGACCAATTTTGGGTCCTTGGATCTAGATCTGAGTTGTTTGGTGTTTATTTTGATTGTTATACGTTTGGATTTTTGATCCCTTTGTAATTTCGTAATTCATTTTAGTTTAGTATGTAAGAAATAGAGAGGAAAAGAAGCAATTGAGAGTTGAACTTTATATTTTTCTGGTTTAATTTTGGCAATTTGTAAGAAAGGTAAAGAGCTGCAGGAAGATGAAGAAAGGTCTGAGAAGAAAAAAAAATGTTTACAAATCATTTTGAAACTTCTGTTATTTCTTAATAAAACAAGAATTTCCCAATTGATAAGAAGAATTGAAGAATGGAATATTGAAGGAGAGGAAGAGCCACCGAAGATGGAGAGACGAGCACGGGGAGGGGAGAGGGGAAGGGAGGAGATAGAGTATAATGTTAATTGCAATTTAATTTTGTTTAATTAAGTTTTAGGTAAGGGATTAGTGTTTGTCCGTCTTACCTCCAAAAAATTAAGAGAAAAAAAGACAAAAATCACCTTAATGCATGCTTTAAAAATATGGTAATTTAGTCTTTCTCAATAAAATTTTATTGAAACGACGTAGTTTTAAGATAATTTTCCTCATAATCTTTAGGAGATAAGGCTAACAGGTACTTTTTCCTTTAGGTAATATATTCAAGTAATAAATTTTTTAAGTATAAAAGTTAACTATTCATTGAAAGTAGTAAATGTGATTAACTAAATTGGGAGAGGGCTCACAATATTTTATTCCATGTTATTTAGTTAGAAAATGATT